CTGAAAGGGCCCAACCCATCTTTTAATCCTGCACCAAACATTCTGCACAGACATGTGCTGCAGATTTGCAGAGCTGTGTCTCTAGAGCATAACGCTAGCAGATATCACCTCACTCTCAAAACTAAGACAGGGAGCAGGGAACATGGGTGGGCTGGAAAATAGCTAGGGAAGGAGGTTTGGAAGGACAGGAGGAGCAAGGCACATGGCTAGAGGGAAGCTCTCTTATTCTCGATTTATCAGTCTTGTAAGAACCTCTTACAGCAATGGTGCTAATACAGCCTATTTAAAATTTACAAGAAAATGATAGGTAAGAATTATACTGGCAGCATCACCAGATGCTACCCAGAAGGTTAAATGAGCTCTGCGTGAGGAACTAGTGCACTTGTGCCTCAGCGAAGACGAGGTTCAGAGCACGGTGCCATGCCCACAGCCACCATGCACAGCTCTGCACAGTGGGTATTTTACATCAGTGAATGATGGTAATTTTGACAGGAGGCTACCACTGATTACTGTCAGGTTTTTGCCATCTGACAGGCAAGCCAACGCCAGGCACAATAGCACAGCTCTCCAGACTCTGAGGAACATCACCAGCTTAGCCCTGGCATCCTGAGCTCCTCCTAACATTGTCATCAGGCTGCATCTGTCAGTGCTGTGTGTAAGCAGAGGGGACCAAGCCAGCGGGTGCTTCGCCACTCCACATAGAATACTGCCACTCTTACTTGCACCTTCTCATGTTATCCTCATTCAGGTTCTCAGACATTCATGTTTTCACTTGTTTCCTTTATGAAACAGATAAAGTCCGGCAGTAACGGGCCACAGGCAGTCTTGCCAAGTCCCCAGAAGCTTGTCTTTTATGTCTGGCTACAGTTCAAAGACAGTTTTTTTCCCTCTGAAATGCCTCCCTCAATCAACTGCCTGCTTGGGACTCCACATCTAGTCTGTGCTAATAAACTGGAGATCTTTGGACACGTCTCAAAAGTTTTTAAAGACCACTGCAGTATAGTTTACATAGATCATGGACAACTAATTAGATCTATTATCTAAAATAAAAAGGGCATCTGTTTACTAAATCTGGTTTTGCAGAAGATTCTCTAACATGCTACGTTTTGTATTACTTGTGACCTAAAAGCACTACAGTTATTATTTCACTGCTTTCTTCTGATGCCGTGAAGAACCGGAGTTGGAGACTCCATAGTCGGCAGACTATTAGCAGGTGTCCTTTATTACGGTGCTGGGCACACAGGGGATCTCTCCTCCAAACGTGCGCGCCAAACACCCTGTCATTTCAGGTTAAATACAGTCACAATATACATATTCATTATATTTCTGATAAATGCTTAGCATATTCGTGACTTTTCTGAGAACTAATTAGCATATGTTAATATCTTTCACGCATGTCTGTTAGCGTCCTCGAGTGGTCCTTGGGGGTCTTAAGATGAAGGCTTAAACTCCTCATCACAGTGTCCGCTGGTTGACCTTTGTTTCTACGCAGACTCAGTTCTAAGATCAGTATACCATGTCCTTCCAGGTTGTTTTGCTCTGGTCTTGTTGCCCTCTTGGTGCCTCTTCATCTCTGTAGCTTGGTGCGTCTGCCCTCCCAAGGCTGAGCTGTCTAAATAACGTTTAGGACTCCTGTGTCTTAGAGCTTGTCTGTACCCGCCCCCCCCAAACAGCAAGTCAAGCTTGTCTAAGTAGCGTTATTTAGGAGCCTCTTTATCTTGGAGCTTTCCTGTCTTCTCAAAACAGCAAGGATCTACTTTAGTTTAATTACAATCACTCCGGTAAGTGGAAAGTTTACATTTGCGAGTATCACTTCCTTGTTAGAGGTCAGGGCCAAATTACAGGTTAATTTGGAATTTCCAAACTCTGACTCTAACAGAACAAAGGATGAGTGGGAAAGCAGTATCTTTAAGGCTCGGAGTGAAAATTTTATCACAGTATCCTTTAAACTGCTAGCAAGCTTCCACCACTTTATTTATATGTATTTTCATTTACAGCACTGGCTGTCTCCATTCAGGTAAAATTCGCAAGGGAGACTGATGGGATTTGATAGAAAAGAAATTAACCTAGAATTACAGGGTACAATGCTCATAATCCGTCTTTTGGCATGGAGTTGAGCCGGGAAGTTAAGGGTAAGCCTTTGACCAGATGTCTACTGTTCTCCCACTAGATCCTTACAGTAAGCCTCCAGCTTAGACAGAGAAATGTATCAAAATGCTGTTGTACTGGAGCCATCATTATTTCATCAGTGTAGTGGATAACACACAGCTTATATGGTTCTGAAGACTCCAAAGAAGGAAAAGCACTTTATGAGGACAAAGAGGAGAGGATGTAATTTGAAAAATAAAAGGAACACATATACTGAGAAAGGAATGGATGCTATTTTGGAAGGATAGATCAGGGTGGGTGAAGCAAATATAAAACCAAGAAAAATCTTGCCTTCTGAAAGAATAAGCATAGAGATTTTTTTTTTTTTCACAATTTTTGTATCTTTATTTAATTTCAAAGGCTCCATTACTGAAGCCAGTAAGCTGGCTGAAAAGATGGGTATTTTGGTTTTGCACTAGAGGAATAAACTCCCACCACATGAAATCTCTTACTCATAATGGAAATCTTTTTTCTCTAATTTCCCAAGGCATCTTTCAGATGGTTATCAATAAATAACAGACAGTAACTGGCTAGACAGTCTGTTACCTACTTTTCCTTTCATCAGTTGGTGAAAAGTCTGCACAAACTACATACAACAGTGCCAGCAGAAGAAAATACCACTTGTTTCACTGAGACAGATGCATACTGCTAAATGTAGATTTTGCAGAACTGCTGGTTTCTAAGTTCGTAGGACTCATTCCCACTGCTTCTCAGTGGCTCTTTCTCATCCCCTATGTCATTGTCTCTCATCTTTGCAAAATAGGCAGGAGAAGCTTTGCATTCGTAGAGCCTGTCAAGAGATTTCAGGTGGATCAACATATGAAGAGCATAGGCAAGAACCAGCAGCAGAATCAGCGACATAACCAATCCCATAAGTATTGCTGGAGAGAAAAAGGATGCACAGTCTTTTGCATAGGCAAAATGTCCTTCTTGAACGTTAAAACCTTGAATCTACAAAGAGAACAAAAGGGCTTATATTAAAGTATTTGCTGTCTTGGTTACAAGTAACTTCATGAATTTCCTCCTGATGCCAGTAAGAATTTTTAATTTAATATCTGCTTACAGCAAAATTTTATCTATCAGTGCTAGCTAGAATTAATGTTCAGAGTTTATTCAGGTCAGTCTTCTAGAAACTGCCAGTTATTCTAACCCCAGTCACTCTGCTTCCCAAAGGATTTGCAATTGTGTTTTAAACAAAATCTTCTATGACCACTCTTGATAACCCAGCAATATTTAATTGTAAGCATGGTACCTGTCAAGTTAACGGTGCATTTCCAGCATCATTTACTGAGAATCTCCAGAGTCTCTGTTTCAAACTGCATGAACTTCCACATGACAAACAAGGAAATATTCTCAATTGCCTACCCTTATGCTAGATTTTTCTCATGAGATTCAAGTGTGCGGTATACGACAGCATGAGCTAAACTACATGAAGCTGCATTCAACCACGGCCAATACCAGCACGTCTTACTTGAGGCTTCCGTTCCAACATGAAGGTTACCACACTGGTATTCAGGAAATTGACTGTCTGCTTTACTAAATCGGTCCACAGGCACTGATCACATGGTGAGAGAAGGGAATTCAGCATTTCCCCTCAATGCCCTTTTTCAGTTATTTACGCACTATGATTTAGGTATCTAAAAGCAAGATATCCTAGTCCAGTTATCTCAAGGCTGCCTTATTGCCAAATACAGAAAAATAGGCACTTTCAGAAGATGATTAATCTCATTCTAAAACAAGGACTTGGTCAGAGGAATTATCCACTCACTTTAAAGGCAGGCTGGGGTGACTATAATCAGGGCACAAGGTTAAAATTACTAGGCATCAAAAATTAAGTGAGGTGAATTCAATGCTTGGTGACTGATGCTGTTACTGATGCCAGGTTTAAGAGCCCAGCTCAAAGAGATGTAACACTGAGTTAAATTCACTCCTCTCACTAAAAAGAAACCCAAGCAAGCAACTACAGAAAATCTATACAGCCTTTCATTTCCCTTGGCAGGAAGATAAGTATAGTAATTTAACTCTTCATTTCTATTTCAAGTTCCATGGAGATCCTGTAAATGGTACATGGAAGGCCATTACATGGCAGTGTAAGGTCATTCACTTGGCAGTGAAGTGCAGAATTTCCCACTGGTCTACCTATGGGATCCATTTGGCTTAATTCCATGACATTACCTGGAAATCAATAAAAGTGACTTCCCAAAGCTTTGAAAGATCATTTGCAGAGCTGGGTACGAGCAGGGCATCGTATCTCCGCAAGCTGCTCACATGTTCACCGTGGTAGGAGTAACTTGCCGGTGCATATATTCTGGTTGCATTAAACGTCGCTTGTACGGAGTGGTTGTAAACAAGTTGCAGTCTGTGTAAATTGAACCAGTTCTGAATAGACAGCTGGTAATAGCTGGTTGTTAGTAAGAATCTGAAAATATTGCATGAGAAAAAAAATTAGTAAGGAGGCAAGTCTACCTAAGAGCTGAACTATTAAATTCACATGTTGAACAATCTTAGAAGGCACACTGGTATCACCAGAGTTTCATCTAGTTATATCAGTGGGAGCTCTAGCTCCTTCTGTTGAGTCTGGAAAATGATTCGAGTTTCTTCATTGTTGCAGCCGAAGGAGTTTGCTGCTTTCCCACACAGTGCAAGGAAAGGTGAGAGATTTTTCCTAAATGACCGAGAAAAATCTATTTGGAACAATGATATTGTACTTCAATCCAAGATATAGAAAACTATTTATCAAGAAATTCTGTTTTCTTTGATTGTCAAGAAGCAAACAAAAAGCAGGTCACAGCCTGGCATCTAAGCAGCCCATGCTATCAGTTCTTGCAGCAAAATTCCCCTTTTTTTAGCAAAAATCTCAGACATGGGAAGATTCTATGCAAAAGAAGTGACCTGAACTTTTCTCATGAACCGAAAAGTCAACACAGAAGAAGAAATGCCTTAATAAATCAAGGCAGGCAAATGACAGACCTATTAAAAGCCAGTGTCTTGATTATACAATCAACAGTTCTGTCACATTATTTTTGTTTACACAGATTCTCCTCCAACAAATTGCACAAGCAACTGCATAACAATGGCTACTATCATGTGATTATCTAATGTTTTCTTTATCACATAAACTTACCTAATAACAAGTCCCTTTAGATTGCCAATGTCACCAAACTTCAGAGAAAGCCTAGATCAAAAAGCAAGAAATGTCAGGCTAGATAAAAACTTCAGAAATCTTAAGAGAAAAAGATTAAGCATAGTTACACATGGAGCCTTATTCTCAGTATACCTTTGAATTCAATGGGAAAAAAAAAATGGAAGGATTATATCTTCTTCCAGTGAAATCCAGCAGTTCAGCTGCTAATTTGAAGGAGGCCTAGACTACCTAGAAAGAAGAGAACCGCATGCTCAGCTTTCAAAACAATTCAGTTCTGCTGCTTCCAGTATCACTGACAATTAGGTTCATTTGATCTGCGTTCTCCTTCTCAAGCCATGATATCTTAGTCATGAATTACCTCTGTATGTCATTAGAAAGTGTACACAGCCATATTATTCTCATCTTTTTAGATCATAGAATCACAGAATCATAGATTGGTAAGGGTTGGAAGGGACCTTAAAGATCATGTGGTTCCAAACCCCCTGCCATGAGCAGGGACATCTTCCACTAGACCAGGTTGCTCAAAGCTCCATCCAGCCTGGCCTTGAACACTGCCAGAGAGGAGGCAGCCACAGCTTCTCTTGGCAACCTGTTCCAGTGTTTCACCACCCTCATGGTGAAGAATTTCTTCCTAATTTCTAATCTGAATCTGCCCTCTTTTAGTTTACAGCAGTTCCCCCTTGCCGTATCACTACACACCCTTGTGAAAAGTCCCTCTCCATCCTCCCTGTAGGCCCCTTCAGGTACTGGAAGGCTGCTACAAGGTCACCCCGGAGCCTTCTCTTCTCCAGGCTGAACAGCCCCAACTAGAGCATAAGAAATACAGATGGAATTTGAGTTCCAGTGTCACACATGTGCATCATCAGAGCAATATAAATACACTGCCTCTGAGGCAGCTCCACAAATCTTGCCTGTGGTGAGCATGAGCACCCGAAGTTTACTGAAGTGGAAGGCCCTAGCAGGTTAATTATAAACTAATGCATGCTCTACCATCCGTCTACCATCTCTGGAATTAATGTGTTGGAGCACTGCATGATTAAGTGGTACACTTTTTTTTTGGCTTAACAATAATATTTTGCCTCTTAAAATCTGCATAATAGGTTCTCACTGCTGACATAACATTTTCAGACTAAGCTAGAGACAAAACTGAGTGAAACCACAGAGCATCTGAAAGACTTCTGAACCTAAACCTGAAGAAAATAAAAAAAACAGCCAGCCCTGTGATTTCAGATAAGATCTAGAATTTTTCTTGCACCTTGACTAACATTGGTCCAATAAGCCAGGACACTGAATCTGGACTGTCCCTTGCGTTATCACAAAGGGAAATCATAGACAGGTGAGGACTAGACACAGGCAAATACAGCACTAAACTCAGTGGCCTGATCCAGAATTTGGTGCACAAAACCCCCCACAGACTGGATTCTTGTATTCGTATAGCAAATGTATTCATATAGCATATGTATGTTCAGTGCCAAGTACTTTTTCCTGGCTCCAGCTACTTTGCATTTATGAGACATTCTAGAGCAGCTTGAAAGCTGAACCAAAGCCACAACAGAGTATTGTCTTAACAAAGAAGGCTGGAGAAGGGAGAAGGTTAAGGGACTTTCCTGGCGTGAGAAAAACTGGGTAATGCATCATATGAGCACCCAGCCATCAACTGACATAATTTAGGTCAGTCCTTAATCCTGAGATTACAGAGAAACATTCAAGCCAGTTCTTCCCTTTCTTCTCTGCTACAGTCAAATGCAGGTTGATAGAAAATCTAACCCAAGACCTGTGTTTGGCAATTACGCTGAGTCTAATCCTGACTCGTGAGCCCAGATTATCCATCTTCCTATCTGTAGAGCATGATTTCTACATATAGGGACTTCAATCAGTACTTAGATGCTGTCAGTCACAATGGATGGACGGATACTTGAAAAATACAGTTTCCTACGACTCAATACACGGAATCTAGCAGAGATGTCACAGATCTGTTCACGCAACCTGTCAAATGTCCTGACAAACTTCTCCTAGCGAGAGCTCATAATAAGACAGGGCTATCTTGGTTAGGATTCTGGAGCGCATTCAAAGTGCAGGAGTCAGTGGGACTAGTATTTCTCAGTGCATCCCAAGTAAACAAAGTATAGAATATGCAAGAAAGCAAAACCATTGTGAAGGGGTATCGTTATCCCCTCTCTCTCCAAAGAGAGAAGGAGAAAAGGCACAGTAGCCACAGTACGCCTCTTGACCCCAGCAAAAAAATGCCAGCCTCAGCTTCAAACTAAGTGTCAAGGTCCTGCTTGCCTTTAGCAGCTATGTCCCTAGTTCCGAGGCTCCTCAGAAAGCCATGGGAGAAACAAAACGAAAGATCAGAAGATATGTCAGGTGAGATGGCTCTGGACCCATAGATTTTGAGATCAAATGTCAGATATGGTGAAACACTGCTAAAAGGCATGTCAAGGCTATGCTGTAGCGTTGTTCTGCTTCCTAACTCTTCCTGCAGCTTTTTTAATGAATACTGTGTTTTATAAACTCCCAAGTTTCTTCCAACTCGATCCATCAAGCAGAATACACAGCGCTGTGGTGGGCTGACCCCAGGCAGCAGCCAAGACCCAGGCAGCAGCTAACTCACTTCCCCCAAAAAAAACCCCCCCCGCCCCCAGCAGGAGAGGGGAGAGAACAGGAAGAGCAAAAGAGAGAGAACCCACGAGTCCAGACAGAGTTTAATCAGTGAAGGGAAGAGGGGGGAAAAAACATGAAAGTTTTGCAAGGGCAGTCACTGACCTTCTCCCACAAGCAGACCGATGCCCAGCGAACCTCTGCACAATGGCCACCCTGGAAGACACAACCCCTACTCACTTCTTCTTCCTCCACCCGTTTTTATTGCTGAGCATGACATCATATGGCAGCGAATATAACTTTGGCCAACTTGGGTCAGCTGTCCAGGCATTGTCCACTCCCAGCCTCTTGCCAGCCTCAACCTACTTGCTGCAGGGGCAGAGAGACAGAGAAAGCCTGGACGCTGTGCAAGCACTACTCAGCAGCAGCCAAAACACTGGTGTGTTTGTCAGTCAACACAGTTTTAGCCACAAACCCAAGACACAAGAATTATCTCCCTCCCAGCCAGAGCCACGACAAGTCCTAATTTCTTAGAACTCTGTATTTACAGAATGAAGCATCCACTACTGTAATCAAACTACAGAGGTACCTGTGACATCAGAGTAGCCTGCTCAAATCTAACAGTCACCATACAGCAGCTCTAGCAGGAGCTTGCAGTCCACCACTGCACTGTCTTTCTGATTTTTCAGGCCTTATGAACAACTATAAAACTACACTTCGTGTTTTGAAACTTACTTTTGCACGAGTATATTTTCTATTAGGTTACAATTGTTACTAATAAGACTAAGATTGTCTCTGAACTGCAGACCAGAACAGAAGAAGGAATGTTTGGTGTTTTAACACAATATTACTCCATTCTCTACCTCTGCCTTTGAAAACATAGTGGTGCATTAGTTCATACGCTGATGACGTAAAACTCAGACTGCCTTGTTGAATACTATGATACCACAGGCAGAAAACCTGGCTTCTTTTTCAACTATACTTTTAGTTTTCTTGTAACCTCACTAAAATTTCTGTGCACCTTGGGTTATTCTTCACAGATGTATAATCAAAAGCGGTAACACTTAACTTTCTGTGGAAACATCTTTAGATATACAGGTGAAATGTTGTATAGGAAATGAAGCTGCTGGGTTTGTTATTTATAACATTGTCATGTTATTTTTATTCTCGTGTGTCATTACAGATTTAAACTCCATTTATGGAGTAGACTCAGTGCCCATGTTCAGCACATGCCCAGTTGGGTATCCACCTCCTAATTTTCAGACTCTTGCCTACCAGAGTGGAATCAATGACCAGATAATAGACATGAAGCCACCCAGCACACTACATGGAGGGAGAGAAGTGGTCAGGTACACTGTACAAGAACCGAAAACCTACATGCATATTCATTATGGCCATGGGAGTGAAGGATTTTCGATCCAGTTAGGTTAATACATAGCCCTCACTCAGACTCAGCAGGAGCAAAGCATTGTGCTATTCACAGTGAAGAAATTCATGACAGACTGGGATGCAGAGTACAGGTTTTTGGAAACTTTTCAGGTCACATGCAAACCTGTAGTGGATTTGCTCCTTGGCGTCAGTAACTCACAGATGACATCCTGGGACTTGGGGCTACCTAAGTCTGTTTCTAAACACGTATCTGCATCTAGTACCGATGGTTTACACTACTGCTGACACACATCCTATGAAGGGATAAGCAGTCATGCATGGTCAGCCCCAAAGGCCACATATTCAGCACAGGATGCACTTGTCCTGTCTCACAAGTAGCTAAGTAAAACAGCTAGAGACTAAAGAGATCAACAGCTTCAGCCTCACAGGCAGTAAGTGCAAAACTGGCTGGCCACAAGGACTGACTACAGCACTGCAAGAGATGCAGACACCTAGGTACATCTATGCGCCCCGTGAAAGACTGGTCTGAAAGTATCTAACCCATGCTGCCCCGCTGCCTGCAACGTCAGGACATTATAGGAAGGATCTTGCCCCAGGGGCTCTACACCACACAATGCAAGGATTGTTTCCTTCAGCATACATTTACTAGACTTGTTATCTGGTACGAGTTCCATTGGCAGAGTAGAATGCCACTTTACATTGCATTATCTTCACTGCAGTTTGAATCTCCAACATCCACTGTTGCATGGACTCCAAACACCTTCTCTGTCAAATCCAGCTGCGTGTGGTTTTCAAACTTAATCATGATCCTCTTGGCCCAGAAGAGAATGCAGGGGATGCCATTTACTGTGACGTTGAGAGGGCTGTAGTGGCTGTGGGTGAACGGCCTCCGGGATGCTCTTTCCCCCTGTCCTTTCCTGCTCAAGTTGTAGCTGACAACCTGATGGACCACATAAAAGATCAGTATCAGAAGATGTTTATTTCAGGAGATACACTCTCCATTCTACCAGAATAAATGAGGCCAGCACTTGGGGAGCACCAGCGGATCGAGTTCTCAGCCACAGCAGTACTGAACTGAGGAAGCAGAGAAATCTCTGGCTAATCCCTTCCCACTACAGAAATGGCACTGTACAGACCACTAGCTCCAGCACAACTGGCCAGAGAGCCAATATAAGTTATATTTATTCTGCTAGGCTAGTACTACCACTGGGGAAGACCACACTCTTAACATGCTCCCATCTCACCACAGAGCTGCCCAATATAAAAAATCAAAACAAAGCTAGAATCATAAAGTGCTCACCTCAGCAGAATACTCTCTAGGACAACAGTAAGAACTACTTCAACACACTAAAGAGGGCTCAGCTTGGGCCACGGACACAGCCCACCACAATGAAAGGACACTAGGCAGCCGTCCAGGTGAAAGGAATGTCCAAGTCTACATCCACCTGCAGACAGATTGGCTCCTGATCACTTTAAAATCATGAAACTGCCTACTGCAGAACAGGACGGCTCAAGCATGGGTCCCTACCTTTACAAAATCAGTCATTCACAAGATTAAAACCTGGGGACTGCATCTTCCATGTCATCTGTACATATGAGAAAAATGCTATCCCTTCTAAGCCAAATTTCATGGCAAAAGGAGGACAATTTGGCTGTCAGGCAATATAATCTGAGACAGTGAGATAGGGCTCAGAAAGGACTTCAAAATTTAACTGTTTATTTAATTTCCATCTTTCAAACTCGAATTTCCAGACACCAGCTCTTTCCCATTTACACATACGTCCTATCCGAACATGATAACATATACAACATCTGCTTGGCTGTTTTGCATGTTATGACTAAGCAAGTTCAAATCATGTACAAACACGAGAGGTATTCTGAGTCCCAGTCATAAACAGCATCTTAACAGGCTCCAGAAGGGATGCGGCTAAGCCCCAAAGCCTTGTCTTGGCTTACAGAGAGATTTTTTTTTTTCTGCTCAGATTAGCAAATCACGTCTCCCAGCTCAGACCCTGAAAGGCCCCTTTTGATACTTGACCTTACACATGGCACAAGACCGCTTTAGGATTAAAATTAGTACGCACTCACAGCAACAGGCTGAAAGCAAGATAAGATCATGGTCAGAAAACAAGATGCAACAGCCACCAAGAAATGCGGATTATGACTGTCATCTGTATAAATGATACGGCTGTCTTCTCAGATGACAGAGATTTAATCTACATATTAGATTCCATAATTCACGGGGTTTTTGATAAGGAAGCCTTTTATGTTCAGTTATTGACAAGACCTACAGGCTGGACTCAGAGAAAACTCCCACTAAATTTGAACTATCAGCAGTTTTGCTTCAGTCATTCTCATAGTATCAAGTGATATAAACAAAATACTGGCCGCAGCAGTCAAATGGCACTGTACAGAATATGGATGATGAGGTTTGGTTCTTTCAGTAAGAACCTGTGCCCAAACCCGCTGTCAGCCAGCACCAGCAACGGCAACGGAAGTCTCACCTTACTTCTCAGAAAAGCAGAAGGTATCTTGTACAGCAGGTGGTGAATCAGCACCACATCACAATGAAGTAGATAGTTCTGTTGGCTACTTCCTGTAAATAATATATTATTTAATTGACTAATCCAAATTAAAAGACCTCAGTGTGCCATGAAAAAACTTGACAGATCCAGTTCCTTCAAACATTACCTGTGTAATTGCTACTTGATTTACATTAAATTTTGGCTTCACACCACCATCATAACGTCTACCTGCAGAAGAAAGTGTTTTATTAGCCTACAAAGAAAACATCCAATCATTTATAAAAGCATAATCTTGCACGTTCTTACGCAAACAATAATTACCCCTGCACAAAATGTGTATTTCAGAATACCTGATTTTGTTTTGGAAAAGACTTGGATTGGTTCAAATACCGCCTTCAATACATTGATTTTCTAGTTTATTTTACCTTATTCGTACCACAAGGTTTCTGTTTTATTCATTGAATATCTTGTCACCCTTAGTGGGAAGAACTCCAGTGCTCAAAAATGACAGCATTCAGCCTATACATGTACTCATTCATCCCAAACACACTTAAGAAAAGCATCTTCTTTCTTCATACAGCAAACTCTATTGTCAAAGGGTGTGTGTTGAATTGCATGGCAGAAGTGTGTACCTATGGCTGGGAATTTTTCCCTGCACTGGGCAGAGATGGGAAGCTGTGACAAGTAACACGTTGGCCTGACTGCTTGCCAAGAGAGTGAAGTTTCAGAGGTGACAGATCATTTCATGGACACTCTCACAGCTCCATATGCTTCAAATATTTAACTCTGCTTTTATTTGGGAAAAAAGAAAAAAAAAGAGTGAATACTTCTTTCTTCCACATTCTCACTGTATCTCAGAGTCAGTCCGTAAATGATTATTTTAACTAGGAAAATTCTTTAAAGGGTATTTTTTAAAGAGGGATATGCATTAAGAACACATCTGACACAAGAGTCACTAAAGCCAACCGAAGCAACATGTGGGAATGAAGATCTTTCACAGCTACACTAACAGAGCCAGTATCCTGCCATTCAGCCCACTGGAAAAAAATGTCTTACCATTTCTTTGCAGAGAATCCTGATCTGAAAATGCACGTGAACTAGAAGAGAAGAGAAAAATGTTTACTGTACAGCATCTGGATTTAAAGTCTGCAGCAAGTTTACTGGGGAGAGCTCCTGTTCCTGCTTCATTCAATAAAACATTCAAAACATAACTCAGATCCTTGGCTGGTTAATGTCACAGGAAAAGGGCAAATTAATCCCAAAGCCAGTGTAACCAGGCTAAAAATGCCTCATTTTCAGAGATCCCTCAGGCGGATCAGCCCTGCCAAGCACTCCCATGTCCTTACCATACTGACTAAAGGTTTCATTACTCCTCTCGTCTCTTTCCATGGGACATCAGTTCTGGGTGAGAGATGGAACCGTTTCCAGCCCACAAGCAGGGGAACAAAAGGATAGCACTGCACCATCCTCAGTCCCCACGGATGATCAGAAACAACACACTGCATTCCTCCAGCATAGAGCAAATGCACTGAGCCAGTATGCCATAAGTCCAGATGTACAGCCATCTAAAATCAGCTCCCAAATGGTTCCAGGCAATCCCATATCCCATGGAAGGCAGCTGCAAGGTAAGGAGCAAATGAAGCACATCTCAAGTTTAAACTCCCAGGGTCACGGAATTTTCAGCCTTTGATTTTCTTCTTTGGTATAATTTAGAGGTAGGTCTTCAGCTGGTGCAAGTATGATATGCTTTCTTGAACTAGAGAATCAAGCCCAGTACATTCACATACATCACCAGAAGACTTACAAGATCAAAGCCCAAGAAACCAGGCTTTCCCTTAGGACCACTCCCTGAGTCACAGGAACACCCTCCTGCTCCCTGCACACCACGGCAGCTTCCTTGGGGCCTGCCTCCTCCTACAGCACCTTGATCTACTGGTCTGATGCGACGTGTCCGCTGCTTAAGTCTGCCGCCAGCGGTCCGAGCAGGAGAACGCACCAGCCCTCCAGCACTCACAGCTGAGCATCGTCCCACAGAGACCCTGCACACTCTGCCCCACGCCTGCCCGCACCATGCCGTAAGCAATGGCAGGGATGGAGTTGCCCCACAGCCACTTCACATGGAAATACATTTCGGTCTTCTTTTCTTGCCTTGTTTGTTACTGCCTTTCTAATACACCACAAAAGAAAAACACTTGAAAAGATACACACAAAGACTGGCACGTAAGGACTAGGACTAAAAGCAGTTTTCAGTACCCACGTGTAAATCGTATCACAGAGGCAAGCCTTGGCCTCACAGAGGAGCCCCTGAACAGCTGATGAACCCACTGCCCGAGGGACTCCCTGGGCAGGGGGATCTGTGCCACTCACTACCAGGTACTGCAGGAGTGGTCCCAACCTAATTTCCATTATGGCTTGCCCTGCCTGCTGCCATGCCCACGCGGCTCTGGCAGTCAGAGAGTTCGATCACAATGAACCTGGCTCGCCTGAAACCGACGTCAATGTTACCAGCTTCAGCAGAGCCCAGATTCCACATGCAAGGGCAGGTGGCTCTTTCTTCTGATCAGTGTCTCTCTGGCGAGAATGTCCTTTCGCAGCACACTCTCTGCTGCCATGAACTGATTGGCTGTGTCCCCTTGCAAACTCCTCAAACCCAGAAGGCAAAATGGACAAAGCGGATTCTGTCTTCCACCTTGTCGCTTTGCCATCAAACACCAGGTCTGACCAGCAGCTTTGCTCCAGACCATCGGGAAGGCTGCTCATTCCCTTCAGCAACCAGGGCAATAAAGCAGAAGACAGTCTCCAGACAAAACGTAGCACAGCACAAAAAGACAGCTAGGCTCTGCAGCACCACAGCAGTGACTGTGATCTGAGCTGAAAGAACCTTGGAAAGATCTTACATTCAAAAACATTCTATGTAGGAACACAGTTTAAAATCAATCTGGCAGTTTTATTTACATGCAGTGCAACCAACTTTCTCCCCAGATGTAGCTGTTCCACCCCATTGGCTTCCAGGGGGCTGCACGCTCCGAGTGGGTCCCACATTCTCCCGCTGCCCTTTGGGTGCCAGGGTTAGTGCTGGGCTGAGGTCTCCAAGCTGCTGAAAGGTCTCATGCCAACAGTGAGCAGCCTTCAGAGACGGGTGGAAATCATCCTTATTTTGACAGATAGATAGATAGATAGATAGATAGATAGATAGATAGATAGATAGATAGATAGATAGAGGTTTGTTATTCAATCCAGTCTTGTTTTTCTTTTCTAGTCTTCTTTCATGACCAGTTGTGCTTTTGGGCTGGAAATGGCAATTTTGGGGCACTTTTTCATTATAATAGCTACAAAAATGAGGCACACCAAAAGGAAATTAACGTGAATTATTTAGTTAATATACCTAAATTTAGATTTAGTTAAAATTTGTTATAATTTAATTATACTTTAATTATATTTTCTGACCTCTGTATATATTTAGTTATGCTTAATTATACTTCCAGCTCCTCCCTACATACATAATTAAAAGCTCATAGCACATGTCATACTGTAACTGGGCAGCTGGCAGCCAAGCACCAGCCAGCCACTCGCTCACCCCTCCCCTTTCCTCCAGTAGGATGGGGGGCAGAAATGGACAAAAGGGGAAACTCATGGGTTGAGATAAAGACACTTTAATATGACAACAAAGGAAATACTTATAATAGTAACACTAATAATGAATATGCAAAACAAACTATATACAATACAATTTTCTCACTGCAGATGACGGATTTCGCATCGAGTCCCCGAGCAGCAGCTGCGGAACCCGTGTGTTTCCTGGAGGTCACAAAATTTGTGGATTTCACGAAACTCATGAATTTCACATAACTTGCCAAACTCATGGAAAAAAGATCAAAATCCCAGAAAAGTTCAAAGTCCCAGACAAGTGAGGATTCAAACTCCTGGAAATGAGGGGAAAAAAAGGATTCCTGCCCTCTCCCTGGCCAACCCCATTCATACACCGAGCATGATGTCTAGGGTATGGAATATTTCCACTGGCCAGCTCGGCTCTGCCTGGCTGTGCTCCCTCCCAGCTCCTGCACGCCTGCTCATGAGCTGAATACGAGAAACCAGAAAAAGTCCTCGATTTCATAGCAACAACTGAAAACATCAGTGTTACCAACATTCTTCTTGTACTAAATCCGAAACACAGCAGCTACTGGGAGGAAAACTAACTCTACCCCAGCCGAAACCAGGACAGCCCATTACTCCAGTTTGGAAACCACCATGCCTTAGTGTGCAGACTAAAACATCAGGATGAGAGGAGACTGACATAAAATTGTGTAATTTATTTCTTCAGTGGACTTGAAAGGTTTTTATGTTGTTCTGGAAAGAGGAAGGGTTATTTTTGTTTTCATGATTGTCAATTAAAAAAAAAAAAATCATTAGCTAGCTTCCCATCTGGGATAAGGCTAATACCATGGTCATGCCAACTACATCACCTTGAGAAATGCTAATCGGTAGGCAGCACCAAGGCTTGAGGAGAGCTTGCAATGAATACTTAAGGCAAAACTCATTGTGAACGGCCCTGTGGAGTTATGTCCTGAGCAGAATGGTTACAACCGGCCCCCACGCAGCACGCAGGCACAGGTTGGGTGCTTGTGACAATGCAGTTGGACTCCTCTACGTCACATGTAAAACCACAGCAATGAGCATCCTCATTGCTCCAGAAGAAATGTCAAGTTTCTGCTCTCCGCACAAAGATACTCAAATATAGATGAATACACACAGCTAATAAAATACTCATGGCTTCATGGGGAATGCAGTGGAGAGAGTGACCCAGGAACCACCACTAAGTACCACAGTATGACAAATACGCTCAGCCACATGGCAGGCACTCTTGGGAGGCAGACGGAGCCATGCAGGTGCTCCTTACTCCATTTATTAGCAATGCAGGCTGCCTCCTTTTCTCCTGCGCAATGCATGCAGCCCTGCTCGAGAAAGGAGAGGCAAAGCCAGCACAGCAAGGTTTGCAGTCTTTGCTTCGTCTTACCAAAGCTAGACTGCGATGGCACAGATACTCTGTTCAGTGGTGTAAAGGAAGGATGGCCTCCTGGTATCTGAGCAAGCACAAGTTGATGTTGATGTTACCAGGTCTGTCAGCTGCCTTTGACACTCATAACCCTGAGTTGTCACAGAAGATGTGTGACAGGAACGGGCGGCCTTCAATAGCCATCCTGCTGTCAAATCCACAGACTTTCCAATCAAAAGGTAAGCTAGGGAATTCACTGGCGATCTCTGGAAGAAAGGACCTTTTGACTTCATCTGGAGCATGTTTCATAGAATGAAAGCATTGTAAGAAGAAATGGGAAAATAACAGCACATGAAAAGTATGTATTCCCTCTTTTATACAAAAATGTTAAGCATACGTATAGGCGACAGGAAACTAGCTAGCACTACAGCCTTCTTCTCCACTGCCTGCAAAACTATCAGCAAACAGTGGCTACACCTGAAATCAGTGACAGCAGATCATCTTTAGCATCTTTAGAGACTAGACTACTTAAATTTATCTTTCTTTTTGCAGCCACTCTGCCTTAAAACTTCAAATTCAGTTGCACGCATGTTATATGCTTTGATGACTAATATTTTTCCTTACCAATTTGTAAATAACTAGCCTAGATATGTATGTTTTGTGTTGAATGTACCACACCGAGTATGTCAGGAACCTAGATGAAATTGGATTAGCCCTAATACAAAGCACCAGGATGACTAATCACTACGTAAAACCCAGTTAAATAAGATTATAAGTATAAAGAAGTGTAAATTCCTTCTTATCAGATGACATTATCCATCTACATAAGATATTCAAGCATAGCTTGTTTGTCTGAAAAAGTTCATACAGGCTCCAGCCCTTAAAGATTTTCACGTTAGCACTCTTTCGCCCACTCAGACGAGCCGCGTGAATAAGCCTGGCACTCAACAACGATGGAGTGTGGAGGCCACAGACAGTTTTCACGCCATCGGGTTAAAGCAAGCTGTATTCACACCGTCTTTTACTCTTCATGTTGCTGCTCTGACAAACTGCATCAGAAGGCAAAAATGCGCTCTACTGCAGTATTTCCATTACTCCAGAATTATCACCCTAATACCAATATCGTCCAGCTGCAGACTACCTCACTGGCTGCTGAACTAGTGCCAATTAATTTATGAAGCATTTAATTGGAAAATAATATATGAATCTTCAAACACGCTGAAAACAAAGTTATGATGAAAGGTGATGAATGCTTGCTGAGCGTCTGGTAGCAATTAACCGGTTGCAGTCCTAGGGACATTGGTGTTAAGTTATTTCAATGAAGATATTAAAATTATAAATGTGTAAGCCTGGGAGCCCAGATTCAGGGCAAAAGCTAGTTCCTTCTAAGAAACATCCTAACAAAAAATTTTACTAAGTTTCAAATGTATCTATTTAAGTTCTATCATTAGGAAATACCTACAAAAGCCCACGACTCCTATAGTTTTTAAATTCTAAGTATTCTCTGTCATGTTTTGGTAGCCTCATGTGTGATTTGACACAGGGAGACAGATTTACATCATTATTTTACAACGTACTGAGTACTGGCATTTGATCTGCACTTTAAGGGATGTCTGATAAGAACTGGATCACAATGACAAGATACCTCAGCTTTCATTTTTAATACAAAAAAAGAAACGGAGCTCATAGAACTTATAGCAGATTAATGCTGTGTAGGTACATTCCCATCTCCACGGGAGGCAAAGGAAATATCCCCATTCAACTCACTGGCATCAGGACTGCAACTTAATTTCTTAATATTCATTGTAATAAAGTTCATGTAATGCTCCACTGCTTGCTCTCTCTCTGATTTTGATCTGATTGCAGAAAAGTGCAATTATACTAAGAAGACACTCACAAATCTGAAAACTGGCAGAGGAGAACAGCAAGTAAGCTATTTAAATGAAAACATATTGTAGCATTTATCCGTAACTGACTACCAGATTTCTTAATACAAGCTTAAGCAAATTACCACATGTCCTTCTTGCCTTCAACACACAGATTTTACTGCCAGCTGTGATCTTCATCAGCATATTTAATCTGTGTACTATTGGTGACTTTGGGCCATGATTGAACTAATACAGTTTAGGCTGTTTT